CGATCGCACTTGCAATTTATTAAAGGGAAAGGAAATTCTGAATAAATTATCAATGAATTAGCAGTCCTTTAGTGGATGGAAAATCGTACGTTGATTTTTACCAAAGGAACTCACTGAAGAGAAAGGAATTTTGAAATTCCCCTCTTCGGTGGGAAATCATCGAGATTTCAATTTCGTCCGAGACTTCAATCACGTCGGCTGCAAGGCCATAATGTTACCTGCGAATGTTCAGATCGCAAACGACACGATGTGTGCATTGTATCTGCAACATTGGAATCCGTATACGTTTGTCCAGAGAAGAAGGAAGCCGCTCAAGATGGGGACAAGATGTAATGGCTGAGAACGCAATACAAGATCTATATGTATCTGTGCGTTGTACACTTGCACTCACTAACCTCCGGTGAAAGCCAGATCGACGTGCGATCACGCGACTCGAATATTTTCGCAAGATATCGCCGTCACAATTTTCCACGTATTTACGGTACGTTGCTCTACGACTGTGATTAATCGACATTTGGACGAATATCGATGAAAACTAAACATTTCGAGAACTTTCATCTTTCGAGACGTATCAATCGGCGTGTGCATTTTTCACGCGAAACAAAAACTTTGTTCGACAATGTATCGATTATCATTTTGTTCGATCATCTTTCGCAGGTAACTTTGCGTGATTCTACGTTCGAAAAAGTTCTTGTCTTTTTTGAACAAAATTCCGAGATTTTTGCGAAATTTAGCAAACCAATTCATAGTTTGAAGGATTGCACTTGCACAGCGTTCTGTTTTTTTTTTTTTTTTTTCGAAAGTAGTACAGCAAAATATGACGAAAATGTTCTTTCTTCAGGCATTAGATCGCACAATGAATTTATTTACGTTTCATGTCTCATCTATTAAAAAAAAAAATGCAATTATTTTTTCGCCAACTCAATATTAAATTCAGTATCATAGTTTTTCATATTGATTCGAAAATCGAGGAGCAGTAATCACTAGATTTTGCACACGAAACAATTCTTCATTTTCTTTCATTTCTTTCTAGAAATGCATGATTTCAGAAATGATCGTAAAAATAAAGAATTCTTTACTTTCACACACGGTATATTAGTTTTTCGGGGCTTAATTAAGGATCAGAGTAGATTAGTCGCGATTTAATAATACGATAATATCAGTTATGAGTTAAGTCCAACTTCAGAGGGTAATGAACGTTTTAACAGTGGCAGTGACATAACGCAGACACAATTGATACAACGAGAGTGGCAGAATTTTTGCCGACCAGAGCAATGCGTGAAAAATATCGTTTCGGTTATCGATACTATCGTTACGATTCCAGCCTTGTATAGCGATACTTTGTCAGCTGATATTGAATGGAATGGGAAATCTATAGCTTGTGCAACACGAAGATCGTGTTCCTGGTTTCGTTACGTCGACAATGAATATTGTCGTAATGCGGTATAATTTTACTAAATATTTACGTTCTATGGATTTCCTTGCTCTTTTATTCTAAAGAGGGCCCCTCTCTTATGTCTCTCTCTCTTTTTTTTTTCCTTTCAACCTTCGTAGCTGGACGTTGCTGTAATTTGCCGCGCAATTTCTCACTTTATTCTTCATGTCTTTATGTCACGAAAGAACTTTCGTTGGAAAGTTGCTACCGATCATTTTCTTTAGCTAACATCAACAATTGACAGAGGAAAATTGAATTGAAATCGACAGAGAGATGTGTTGAAAGTTTGGAAAAATGTGACCGACATAGAAACACAATCATTTAATGATATTTATGTAACGTAGGTAGCTAGAATACTTCTGTTCAATCACTTTCTACCAAGCTTAAAATTGCTCTCGGCAAATTTCGTTATACGTTGCACGTATGGTCGCATGTAAGAGCCGCCGAACGGGGCGGGTTTACGCGTTTTAAAACGTGTCGTTCCCTTTTACGAATCCAGCGTAACCAAACCAAGTGAATATCAAAGAGATTGTTTTTAACGGGATTGGCCGTACGACACGCGACGCCGTGATTGCAACGAAAATACCTCCGCCTTATAAAAATCGACGAAGAAAGATCCCGTTTTCCTCGTAAAATCTTTCCTCGTTAGTTCAGCGATCTAATTCGATCGTTTTGAAAGCTCGTGGCGTGGTCTGATTTGTTCTGTAACTTTCTACTAAAATAAATCTGTAATTTTTCTTATTATATATATTTTTGAATTTTTTATAATTTTTATTTATATATATATATTTTTTAATTTTTTTTAATATTATATATATTTTGATTTTTTTTTTAAATAATTTTTAAAACATAATGAAAGAAAGATCACGTTTAAATTCCTTACGTTTTGATGTTTCATTAAAAAAGAATCCACATTCGAAAGTCATCTGAAGCGAACGCTCCGACACTCGATGGACATAAATCTATATTAAAAAAAATATAAGTACCTAGTCGCTAATGACCTCGACGTCAATGTGCACTTTAAATCTGCAGAAAACAAAAAAAAAAATATCTACATTGAATTCGGGGATATTCACGAAATGTTTGAACCGTGGAAGATACGTTTTATCATTTTTTTTTACAAATGTGAAATTTTCAAATTTTGAAGACTCTCTCTCCAACGATAACGAAACAAGCAAACTTTTGGATAAAGTGATCATGAAACTAACTTATAATCAGTGAGGAATTATCAAACGTTAAGTATTGTTTAATAATGCGTTAATATTTTCGAATTTCTCTTAAATTTCGCGAATTTCTCAAGCGAAAAGGGAAAAGAAAACCATCGTAGAAGTCTAATCGCCGCGACTTTTGATAAACTTTAAGTCTCCAGATCTGGCGTTTCGTTTTTTTGCAATGTTTCTACTAGCTGATTGCAAAATTGGCACGTACAATAATTTATTAAACGTGGTTTAAGTGGTTATTAGATCGGCCAGTGCGACGTCAAGTTGCGTAGGTATGCGCCGTATTGCAATTAAATTCAGAACGATAGCCCCTGGTACATTCTCGCGGATAGTTTCAGCGTATGTCCCGTTACTCCATTTAATAACGAATGTGACAGGATAATCTGTGGGAAAACGTTGCCGAGCACAAGCAGATTTCCTTGCACGAAATCCTGCAGGAACGTTGATGAAGTTCGCAGTAACGCGTTCGAGACGTTTAATCGATGAACTCCGTAAAAAGAATGTAATTTGAAGACGAAATAGCCGAGGAAATGTCTGACTCAATCCTCTGGAACGAGGATTTCGCCAGAGAAGAGAAAAACTACTAGTTAAGTGTAGCTACTTATCACTAATTAAAGTTCAAAAAACATTAGATTGGAATTATGGCATGTGCGAAAGATTTAAGATTAAGAGAGAATGGAGATCCATTAACAAAAAGAAACGCACTTAAAATATTCATAATAAATACCCTGATATTCATTCAATAGCTAATGCAAATAATATTATAAATATAAATAAAATAATTGAATTTATTATATAAAAAAAATTCGAGTATTTTAAATAATATATAATTAATGGAATTAATAAAGTAATTTCAATATCAAAAATTAAAAATAATAATCTAATTAAAAAAAAAAAAGATATTGAAAATGGTAATGAAAATTTAGAAATTGGATTGAATCCACGTTCAAATGGAATTTTGTTCTTTTCTAAATTTAATACTTTATTCAGTGAAATTAATTTATTGAAATTAAAAATTAAATTTGGAATTAACATGGGAAATAAAAAGTGTGAATTTCTATGCAAAAGCATGCTTCGATGTGGGATTACTATTTTTAATACTAAATTTAATAAAAAGCATATGCACATGTATATTAAATATTTTTTTCACGTCTATTCCATCGTTCGACTGTGATCATTGATGATTACGTATCAATTTTGAATTTCGTTTGAAATGAGAGTTGTGTCCCCACACAAACAGTTTCTAGTTATAAGTTAAAATTCGACATGGCTGTTAACATTATTTGGCAACCTCTAAATAACGAAATATAGAGAAATTTTTTGACAAAATATAACGTTCTTTCACTACATAAAAACTCATGTTAGATGACAGGTAACAATTGAATGTTGGGAACTTACTCATAATATTGAACACTTATAATATAATCTATTGCGACGCTGACTGTAGTGTCTCACTGTAAATAAACTGTTTAAATTAAAACTGAAAAATTAAATAAGCTACAACATAGTAATTTATATTTTATATATACGCATATTTGGATACGTCCTTCTAATCATCACCCACTCCATTAATTAATCGAATAAGATCACGATTAATCGAGCGATCTGCCTAGCGTGATAAAGCCAGGTGGGTCAACCTTCGAAGGTAAAAGCCACGAGTGGCACGTCAATGCCATGATATTTCGTAGCGAGAAACGAGATACGTCAATTGACGTGTGTTTCGCGGGCGCACCTCTCGTATGTGACAGTTTCGTGTTACCTTGATACAGAATATACCTAAGACGCGCAGGTTAGAAACTAGGCTGAAACTG